AATATGGCTAATTAAGATACAAGTCAACGAAAATCTTAATTCATAATATTAGAAGGGCTTTCTAATGTTATCAAGTAGAATAAAAATCAAGAGCCTTTACAAAAAGATTCAAGCATATTTGTATCTACTACTACACGGGAAGATATGGAGCTAAATGAACCTATTGTTTATGTTCGCAGGTCTTCAAGAACTGTAAAGCCCCCATAACGGTTCACACTTCTACTGAATTATATTCTACTAATAAATGGTGATGAAACACAAACTTATGAAAAATCATTACAACATGAAAACTCAAGTAAGTGAGTTAGCTGATTGATACTTAAAAGTGTATTTTTATCAAGGTTTTATATCATCATTTTGCATTTGAAGTATCAATAATTCATTGACTAAAACATGTTTTATAATAATATATCTAATAATATAAGATACCTTTAATTTATGGTAAATGTTTATTTTAAATGCAGGCCTATCACATAAATGAAAGGATTGATTGATGAATTTAAGAACTGAAATTGAAAGGACAAAGAGATGGCCAAACTTAGAAAAGAGATGTCGGTGTAGTCCAAACCAGAACACTATTCAGTAATTGGATCATATCTAGAGCTCTAGATCTCAGATTTAGGTCTACTTTATATGGATAGAAAGGTAAGACATAGGCCTACAACTTTCATATGGAGCCTAAGATCTACAAAGGTCATTTTCAAGTTCAAATTGGAGCAACAACAAAGAAATCTGAATCTGTCCTCCAGCCCGAGCACTGTTTAGTATTTTAGCCATATCTAGAGTTCTAGAAGTCAAAATGATCTAAATGTTTTACACAAGAAAGCTGAGATAATTTCCTATAACTTTCATGTTTTCAAGTGGTTCTAATTTTGACTTTATCAATGAATTTTTGGGCAGACAAGAGAAGATAAGGATTGTCACCAAGTTAAGAGTTGGTCACCCACTCATCAATTAGTCATCAAATCAATAGTTCCCAATTTTGGCCTATCAAAGGAGGCATTTGCCATATATTTAGGCATCTTGGTTTTCAAATCAAGATCATGCTCTTGCTTTGTCTCTTTGTATTTTTTGTAATGTTTATGCTTTGCTTTCATTAATATCAAGTTTATGCCTTTCATTTCCTTTCATTTACTTAGTTAACTTTTATCTTATTTATGTTCTTATTTTGTTTATTTATTTTTCTTTCTTTCATTATGTCTAGCTAAGTTTATTATGTCAAGGTGAAAAGGTTACATTAATGGTGTAAGAACAAATATAGTGTAAACTTAATATAGACTTTAATGTTTGATACTAACATGTTTTATATTTATTATCTTGTTCACTCTTTAATACTTTGTTTGTTAAATGACTAATATTGATTTATGTTGTATAACACTTGGTACAACAAATGCTTGGCACTTTCATAGCCCATACTGTATGGTATAACCGACACCTGAGCTATGAAAGAAACTTGATTTGTTGTCAACATAAATTATAATCATGAATGCTTGACGAGATTTACAAGTATTAGCATTACTCGAATAAGATGACTAATGTAATCATGTTAACAATCTATAATCTGATTGGAACCTCCTTTGTATGTGGTTTTCAATTGAATAATAAGAGTTTATACTATACTTGTTTGATATACCATTAGTGGATCCTTTAACCTTGACATTTGTTATTATCATCGTTTAATCTTTACATTAATATTTCATCTCCAAGTTCTCATATTCTTCTTCTTCTCTTTCTTTATTATTATTATTATTATTATTATTATTATTATTACTACTACTACTACTACTACTATTGTTATTATTATTGTTGTTGTTGTTATTATTATTATTGTTATTATTGCTATTGTTGTTGTTTATAATTGATGTTTATAATTTATACAATTAACCTCCCTGTGGTTCGACCCCGGTCTTATCGGGTTATTTATTACTTTGACACTCCTGCATTTAGGAGAAGACATCAATCTTTTAGTTGTGTCATTAGCCATGAAGGAGGAGATAGATTCTTTGTTGAAGAACAAAACTTGAGAGTTGACCACACTACCTGAATGAAAAAAAGCTTTGCAAGAAAAATGGGTTTATAAAGTAAAGACTAAACATGATAGAAGCAAACAGTTCAAGGCAAGACTTGTTGTAAAAGGGTTTCAACAAAAAAAAAAAAGGTTGACTACTCTGAGATATTTTCTCCAGTTGTGAAGCACATAATAATCAGAGTTGTTCTGGGGATAATAGCTGAAGAAAATTTACATCTTGAATAATTAAATGTAAAAACAACATTTCTTCATGGTGACTTGGAGAAAGATATTTATATTCAACAACTAGAGGGGTTTTGCAATATAAAGAAAGCAGAATCAAGTCTGCAAGCTAAAGAAAAGCCTATACGGTTTGAAGTAAGCTCTAAGACAGTGGTATAAGAAATTTGACAACTTCATGTGTAGTTCGGGTACACAAGATGTCAAGCTGATCATTATTGCTATGTCAAACATTTTGACAACTCTTATATCATTCTACTGTCATATGTAGATGATATGTTGATTGAAGGATCCAGTATTGAAGAGATTGACAAGTTGAAACGACAGTTATCAAAACAATTTGAAATAAAGGACTTGAGAGCTGCTAAATAAATACTTAGCATAAGAATCATCAAAAATAAAGACAAAGGCATACTAAAGCTTTCATAAATAAAGTATGTCAATAAGGTTCTCAGCAGGTTTAATATGCATAATGGTAAACTAGTAAGTATATATCTAGGAAATCATTTCAAGCTAAGCAAAGACTAATCAACAAAAATTAAGCTTGGATACATGAATAAGATTCCATACACCTCAGTTATCGGCTTTTTGATATATGTTATGATCTCTACTAGAACAGACACTGCCCATGCAGTAGGAGTTGTAAGCTGATATATGAGCAATCCTGGAAAGATGTATTGAGATACAGTAAAATAGATCATGAGATACTTAAAAGGTTCCTTGGAGACTTGTCTTACATTCACAGTTGGTGGTTTGAAACTTGAAGGTTTTATAAACGCTGATCTAGCAAAAGATATTGATAGTAGAAAAAGCACTACATGATATGTATATACTCTAGGAGGCACTGCTGTTTCCTAGAGTTTTACCTTGCAAAAGATTGCCGCTCTTTCAATAACAGAAGGTGAATATGTTGCAGTCTCAGAATCTGCAAAAAAGATAGTATAGTTGTAGAGTTTCCTAAAATAATTAGACAAGATGAATGAAAATGGTACTCTGTATAGTGATAGTTAGCAATCTTTATTGCCAAGAATCTAGCGTTTCACTAGGACTAAGCATATTCAGATCAAATATCACTTTATTCAATAATTGCTATACGATGAGCAACTAATGCTAGAAAAGGTCTATGGAAGCAAGAATTCAACTGAAATGTTAACCAAAGAAGTTATACTTAATAAATTGAAGTTATGTAAAACTTCAATTGATCTTCAAGGGTAAAAGATAATTTCATTGTTTGTCTCAAAGTGGAAGATTGTTAGTAAAGTGGAGACAAACAATGCCCCACCTCCATTATATGCATGTGGTAACAACTAATCTCTCACTTAGCACATAATGGAGGCTTAATTTAAGGCATAAATCATGACATGATTTATGGCCTTTGTTCTCAGCTTAGTGTGTATATATGTACTTGGTGAAGAGTTGTATAGGTAGAGAAAATATAGAAAACAAGATAAAAAGAGTTTGCGTGAAAGTGAGTTGAGTAGAGAAGAGTTTTCTCCTCCTTTTTTTTTGTATTGTTTTTTTAATTAATTAATACAAACTAGTAGCTCTGTAAAGTAGACAAGTTGTCAAACCACGTAAATTTATATGTGTTTGATTTCTGAAATGACCAAACAATATGCTTATGCTTCTGATAAAACCGAGTATGATGCATTGCAAAACAAGCAAACAAATCCAAATCATGTGATTTTGTTGTAGTCATCTTGATTTTTTTGCGTAAAAAACAACAAATTTATCTAGCATGTAAATACTAGTGCTATGTTAGTACATAAAGTTTCTAATATTATCTCCTTAAAACTGCTTCAAATGATATTTGGAGGTCATTTTTTTCATATTCATGATATATTTAGTTTAAATACACCTATATTTTAGATTTAAATATAAAATAAATTACAATCCAAGTATGAAATTACATATATCTTTGCTATAAAATTTGGACAAACCTGGTAGATTGACTAAAACCCACTAATTTAGAATTTATATCGATTTAAATTTGAAAAAAAAAAGTAAAAAATTGATGTAGTTTGATCTCATTTAAAACCCAAATTAATTTGTAACTTGGGTAAAATCCTATCTAAACTCATTAATTTTATGTTAAAAAAACAAAAAACTTGATTGAATTAGATTTTAAACTATAATTTAGATATAACACATGAACCATTTTTATTCCTTGATGTTAAATGATGAGTGATCCTAAAACATTTTATGTGAAAAAAGGACGTGTGTGATAGTTTGTTAAATAGAGAGGGGGTTCTCTTAAGGTTTTTATTTTTTTGGGGTGAAATTTGAAATTTCCAACGTAAAAAAAATCCAAGGATGAAAATGAAAATTAAAAGATGAAATTCAAAAAAACAGTAAGGGTTAAATTGAAATCAAAACTCGGTGAAGGTCCATTAAGTTTCCCTATTATATACGGTAAATATGCTTGCTTATTGAAACAAAAAGAAAATAAAATATTAAAAGGAAGAAGGGTTTTGTAATTTTCAAGAGAAACCACCCAAAACCCCCCTACGCACTGCTGCTTAATCCACCACCAAATGCCCAAATTCAAGATCCTAAGCAATCTCCTCCGTGCAGCCATTAAAACCACCACTGCCTCCACCACTACCGCCAGTGACACGACTTTCAAAAGCCTCGTCAGCCATCTCGAATCCATAACACCCCCCAAACCAGAAACTTCTTCCAAGTCCAAAAAACAACCTGAAACTAAACCTCAATCTCCTCCGTCACCCGCAGTTAAATCTAGCCCTGGTACTCTTGGATTAGAAGACTTTTATTCTGGTACGCCCTTTTTTGTTTTTCTTCAAAAAAGAAAAGAAAGAAATGTTTTGTTACAATTGATTTTTTTGTTTTAATGTCTTCTTTTGTGTGATTCAGAAACAATCCCGACAGAAAAATACACGGCAAAGACAGCAAAAGTCATAGAAAAGATTATAAATGGTACAGTGCATTAATAAAAAACTGGGTGCTTTTTTTTATGTAATTTGTCATTTGGAGCTAATCCTTCTTAAGTTTAGATGCAAAAGAACTTTGGGTTGTTATTAATTTTTTGTGATGTAATCTGATGTTATTTTGTTTCATTTTTGTAGCCAAAAGGAAGAAAACTTAGATGTTAGAGAATTGATTTTTGAAATGTAATGTAACGTTATTGTTAACCAAAAAAGAAAAAAAATAGAGTATTTAAGTTATAGTTCTAGTTTGGATATCTGGGTTCATGCAAGAAAAAGGGGTTTGGTCATTTTCTGCAAATTGGTGTTTTCTGGGTTGTTGTTGTTGTGGTTGTGGTTGTTGTTGTGGTTGTGGTTGTGGTTGTGGTTGTTGTTGTTGTTGTTGTTGCTTTCTTAGATGTGGTTTTGATTATTTTTTCGAATTTGTGTTTATTTTTTTTTTCCCTTGTTCCTTTTGTAGATGTTTTGAAAATTAAATCACTAGGTTTGGAAGAAGCAGATGATGAGAAAGTTGTAGAAAACGTTTTCAAGACACCATGGCTTTCAAATTGGAAGAAAAACGATATAGGTATACAGTGGAAAGAAATATCTTATGAAAGGAAACAAAAATGGATTTTCAAAAATAGTCAAGTCTATCATTTTGACCGATTAGTTGACACATGTGCCTTCAAGCTGGGACAGATGCTACAATGGATGTGTTTGGAATGTTGGGAAGGGAAACAGGTTTGAAAGAGTTCAATGTATTGATGAAGATGTGCATTGAGCAATGTAGGGAA